GAATGCACATGCCCTCGAGGTTCCTGCAAAGAGAACCTGGTGTTTTTTCAAAGGAACATGGTAGTTGCCCAGAATTAGGGACCCCAATATAGACCCCAAACTACTGTAGTCCTTATGATAGGGACCCCCAAAATGAGCAGTACCCCTAACTCTGGGAACCCCCACATCTGTTTTGTAAAGCACGAGCGTGCCCTGGTGCGTACAAGGACGCCCCAGCCCCGGCCCTCTGCGAGCCACGCGGAAGTGGATGCATGGATTTGGGATCTTGCGACTCTGAAGACCAACGGGTGTTGAACGAAACTGTGACGATTGCGGCTGATCTGAAGCTTGCGCTCGTCCACAGGGATGATCCTCTCAGATGTGTCCGAGCATCCAGCTTTGAATCCGCACCTGGCTGTGTCCCCAGGCCTGGCAGGAATATCTTTTTCCATTCTTCAACAGTTGTCCTGGGTTGCTGTTAGGGAACTTGCACTAAGTTAACATAATGGGTATACATAGTAATTAATATGGCTTCCCCAATATAGTCACTTAAGCCAAGCTCCTTAACAGCAACTCTGTTGTTTTTCAGCTTCGGTCACCGGAGGGTGACCTGAACGACTGCAGGCTTGGCACCAGCCGTAGCCCACATTCTTGTAATCTCATCTCTAAACCCTAAAGCCTTCTCCTTGCAGCCCTTCACCATAGGAGCCGACCAGGGAGTTTCGAGTGCAAACCTTTGGGGCAGGGAATGGGCAGCTGCGGAGCAGCTGGCCTACAAGCTTACTGGTTCTTCGTAGGGAATACGGGAATCTGTTATATAGGGTTTACGGCTTCGGGTAGGGAATATGGGAATATCTTAAAGAGCGTCTATTTAGGGAGTAGTTATTTTCCCCTATTCCCGATTGAAAGCCAGTAAGGTAAGGGAGGCCTGGTGCTGGATTTGGGGGTCTGAGCTGAAAGGGTTTCGAGATTTCAACCTGCCCAGAGGCTGTCCGCGGCCACGCTTTCTAGAGGAGGACTAAAGAGAGCTGGAACAGAAGCTCAAACTCTCAGAAGGATAAGAACTCCCGCTGCAAGCTGTAGTTCCGGGGCACCGGATTCAATCGCTGGACTGTAGGGAAGCTCTCTGCATGGATTATTGAGATTCCATAGTGTGTCTTGCGTTGCATCCTACTCCTTCCGGGGCCTCCACTGTAAGCAGTCTCAGGTTCATGCAAATTGTCCATACGAGAACTGCGCAAGAGCAATTATGGCCATGAAAGCATCAGAAGGCTCCCCAGGCTCCTGTTGGGGCACAGCTCCCAGGTCAAGACAGGTTCAAACTATGCGAAATCCGTATAGCACGTGCATTTGCAGCTGCTCTTCTTGGCTAGAGGCAGTACGCAAGCTTCTGTCTCTAGGATGCGCGACCATAGCATCCGGCTGAGACTTCAGTCGCAGTCAAAAGCGAGTTTGCTGTCCTCAGACTGGCAGCTTCCAGAGCCCAGGCGCGTGAACGTGCTGCTAACCTTATCGCGCCTTCCTCCGTCGCCCATGCGGACATGCTGCCTCTTGAAACACGGGTCCGTGCCTTTAAAACTCCCGTCTCTGCTCATATCCTGCTTGCGAACCAGTTCCCGATGTTGCAAAGTCGTTTCAACATGCGCTTGCCGTGGCCGCGAGGCTGCCATGAGAACTATTATGCACACGGCTCACAGTACAAGGGACCCAAAATGCGGAATATCTTTCTGTATCTGAGGCTCACTTTTGCACACCTGCTGCCAAGCTGACTGGCGCTATGATCAATTTGGTCCTGCAGTTTCTTTGCAGAGAGCTCGTCCATGAACGTGGCTTCCATTTTTTCCCTTTGTACTGACGCCTGGGCGAGCGCAGCAGGAAGGCTGCTGCCTGCTATTTCAAACAAGGTACAACGCTGGCAGGCTAATTGTAGCAATAAGTTGTTGACAAAAGATCATAGGAGAATGGGAGAAAAAGCTTGGCAGTCAGTTGCTGCAAGTAGGCTAAGCCTCATAACCCAAAGAACCTAAGCCCCAACAAGACCCATACAATCTTTCCATTACAGCAAGGGCCTCGTGTGGTACATCAGCCTGAAGAGCTTGCAGTCTGTTGAGCGAGGGAGGATCTTGCCAAACTAATTAGGGGTGTATAGGGGTAAATAGGGAGAATGGAAAAGAATATTGAAAACTACTATAATGGGGGCCTTAGGATGAAGAATCTCCGCACTCCATATTCTTCCTGTGCTATCTTGGCAACTTCAGCTTTCAGCAGCCACATGTAACAACTTAGCCCAGGGCGAGCTGCCCAGCACGAGGACGGAGGGCACTAGCATAAAGCTTGCGCCTCGGGGGCTCCCAAAACCTTTGACCTGCACTGCATGGCTCCTTAAAATCAAGTGGGGCTTCTCCCAAAGCACCCCACCAACATGAGGAAAACCGTCTCACAGGGACCCGTAGCACCAAAAGATGGGACAGCTGCAGTATCACGGTGCATTGAAACCTAAGCCCCTAAGCCAGCAGAAGACGAGAGTTACAATTACAATAGGTTAGGGCGTTCCCCCTTTCAGCAACCGCTCCACAATAGGTAATGGGAGTTTAAATAGCCTTGTTAGAAAAAAACCTTTAAGGATAGTTACTGTACTGGGGGATGACCCAAACAATAGGTGGTAGCCCTGTGCTTGTCCCACAGCCTGATATCCCCCCCACCCCCCATTTCATGTTGAAACGGAACATGAAAAACTCCATGAGCCGCATAACACGAGCCAACACCCCATGAACATGGAAGTGTTTCAGCCCAAAAAGCTCCGTTACATGTTGCTCCAAAACCGCAACACAGCAAAGTGTCTCGCTGCCATCGCTGAGACATAAGATGAAAGAAACATTTGAAGGTGGCTTTGTGGAAAGTGCAGCGCGCCCGCTTTGACGGCAGAATGCCTGCGTAGCTTTGGAACACACACTCAGTGACATGCAACGGCAAAAGGGCGACATCCCTGGCAACAGCAATAATCAAAAATCCCTAGTCCCCCAAAATCTGATTGAAGTCACCCTGGACCCCAACCCGGAAAAACAGAGTGCCACGAACTCCCCCAAGGCCCCTATAATGCCCCGAAGAATCTTATCCACCATTTGTAGCTCCGCAGAAGCCAGCCTCAGCGCCGAACTCCGCAGTGGCGGTGAGGCTCGGCGTGAGGCCTCGGAAGGCTCGGAGGTGGCCGCGGCAAGAAGGCAGGTTTCAGGAGCTTTGGGCAGGCACTTGGGGGTAAAGATATGGGTGTTTCCCAAAATTAAGGGTACCTTTTTTGGGGTCCCTATAATTAGGACTATAATATATTGGGGTACCCTAAGTTTGGGAAACTACCATATCTAAATTATGGGAAGTGTATTGAGGGCTTAGGGCATTGGCAACAGGGTGCTCGGAGAGTCTTGGACCTCCAAACGCCTTGGAGGACTCGGGGTCTGCATAGCCTTCGCAACACTTCATAAGGCTTCCTGTGCCCCTTTGTCAAGAAGGGGGCATTTGGGATTTCTATAAACAAGAATTTGAAGTTGAATGCGAGATAACCGAGTGCGACTCAGTCAACCTACATCCCTCGTCAGGTGGTCAAAGGAGAGGCGAGTTTGGGCTGCTGCACCAGTTTATCCAGAATTTTTTGCCTCCCTTCAACACCTGAAATCCAAGGTCATCCATCCCTTCTCGGATTTGCTGTCCGAAGCCCTACGCCATCCCCTCCCAGGAAGCCGTGGAGGATCTCAAGGCCTCATAAAATCATCAGCTAGACTTGACATGCGGACATCAGAAGCTGATGGACAGGGCCTCACATTGGAGGTCTTGAATCTGAGGGATTTGACTCTCGAGAGGTTGAAGTCGCCTGGAAAAATGATAGGAGATTCAGCACTTCGAAGCTAGGGTCTCGTTGCTTCGGCACACCTGCGAGTCAGCCGAGCAATTCTGTGGGAGGTCAACTGAGACCATATGAGACGATGAACTCCGTAGCATGGCGGTGCGGAGTTCGGGGCCTCGAGGATAGACTCTGCTTGAGAATTGGGAATCCCAACAGCAGGAGGCTCCTGGTCACCAATCTTGCAAGGCTTTTGGCGTGAAAACGGGGATGCTGTGATACTTTAGAGCCATGGCTAGAAGGATTCTAGCTTCTTCGCGCCATCCAACAAAAATGCTGCATCCGTCAGAGCCCGAAAGCACTACTTCGCACCAAAAACATGTCAAATACGAACCAACAAACAGTTCAGATTTCCTGAAGTAGAGCACCCTGCAAACCTTGCAGATGGAATTCATCGACATTGGTAGAGGTCATGGGACGATAGTCTTGGGAGCATAGGGGCATGTATATTACAGACCCCAAATCCGAAACCGGAAAACCGTGTTGAGGCAGAGAGGTGAGGTTGCTTGGGCATCTGCAGATCGCGCTGCTCCTCAACCGAGGCCTGCGGGGCACTTGCTTGCCGCAGTTTTCCTCCCGTGTGCTGTGCGCACAACTCATCGCTTTGATAAAAAACATGGAAGCTTGCGGTTTGTTTTGGCACTTGACATGTACTTGCTGGTTTGGTTGGGGCTGTGGCTGCCGGCACTCAAGGCGGGCTGCCAAGCTCCTGTGCAAGGAGTACCCTACGAGTAGCTGCTGTCCTGGCCTTTGCGCGCGTATTCCCCTGCGGTCGTGTGCGCAGGGGGTGGTTCGGCATGTGGCACAAAACTGGGAGCCGAGGAAGATTGAAATGGGGCCGTCACTCAGGCACTGCACACCTCCCGAACCTAGCTCAGCTCTGAAAAGGGTCTTATGGATCCCATATTCATCACTGTTAGCTACACAAAAACACACCTGGAAATGGTCCAGAAGGCGGCGTGCACTTCACTCCGGCAGCTCCTGCAGCAAAGCCAAGCCCGGAGGCACCGTGCACTCAGCAGCTTGGTGGCATCCACGGGAGCAAATTGGCAAATTAAATTGGGTTGGCTTTCGTTGGCTCTACGGCCGTCTGGGTGCTGTACAAGGAAGGTAAGCTTAAATCACTTCAAAGGATCCGTCCACAAACTGGCTGTGACGGGGATGGAGCTGCTGTCAGCGGTCTGGTACATGTCTGGTGTCCGCACATGCCTCCCCGGCGAGTGCGAAAGTTCGGGTGCCCCTTGCTGAGGATGCAGGGCGGGCAGGCGAAACAGGCCACGGGGAGGTCAGGCTCAAAGACGATCTTCAGCACCTCGAAGTCCGCGCAGTCTGTGCACCAGGACTCCACGCTTGTGAGGGCCACAGGCTCGCCCGAGTCGAGCATCACGAAGTCACCCTCCTTCAAGGTGCCAGCTGCGACGTACTTTGCGATGCCCACTCCCGCCTTCACCTCCGTCACATCCGCCACTCCCTCCTCCAGGCTTTTCAGGTCAGGCACCTGCACCAGGTGGTCTTGCGTCACCTGCAAAATCGCGGCTCCCGCTTGCAAGCGGACGATGTCGGTGGCCTTGCTGATCTCTGGATTCTTGGCGACCTCCAAGATTGCTTCATCATCACCAGCCACAACTCGGGAGCCTTTCTTTAGGTCGCGGCCCATCAAGAAGAAGTCCACCCCATAGCTGCGAGTCTTGAAGATGGCGTCCAGCATGAAGCAGTGAGGCTGGACCGAGAACCAGGAGGAGCGGCTCAGCACGGATGAGGCGTCCTCTACCAGGATGTAGCCCAGGGAGTCAGAGGCGTTCGACTCAGGGCTCCTGGAAGCTTCTACGCCGGAGGCTGGGCCATGGCGTGCGAAAGTTGGATATGCGAACAATCGGCTGCTCATGTGCAAGGCGTGCTCCTTGGCCTCAGTGAGCTGCTCCAGCAAGCGGCAACGCTCCTGGTACGTGGCAGCCTCCACTTGGCACTTGCCCTTCTCTTCCCAGAGCGTCTGCATCTGATCCAACTTCGTCTCCGCCTTGGCAAGCTGCTGCGTGAGCTGCTCGCATCGCTCCTCGTACTTTGCATTCTCGATCAGCAAGGTCTTCAGCTCCGTATTGCCTCCTGCAGGATCCTTGGCCAAGCGGCTCTCGAGTTGCTGGCACCGCTCCTCGCACGCCCTCTTCTCGCTTTGAACCTTGCTGAGCTCATCCTGGCTTTCCGCAGCTGCGGCCTCTGCTGCTGCCACCCGCTGCTCGAGCGTGGTGATCTCATCGTGAGCTTGCTGGAGCTCCACCACCTTGTCGGAAGCCGAGGCCTCCGCAGAAGCCAGGCGCTCCGCGAGCTGCTCGCGCTCCGTCTCCGAAGCTCGGAGCTGCACGACAGTCTCTGCTGCGCCAGCCTCCAAAGCAAGCACACGAGCCTCGAGCTGTCCGCATCGCTCTTTGTGCTGGGCCACTTCGTCCTTTGATGCTCGGACCTCCGATTCCGCCTCACAGGGTGATGGCGAGAGGTTACAGAGTGTAACATTCATTTGGTCCTGACCCCAAACTCCAAAGATCCCCCCTCTTCTTTCTATTTAAGGTAATACAGATGGCATCTGACAGCGAGGTCTACAGACCCTGATCAAAGTGGACAGCTGGCAGACATGCTCTCCAACACAATGCTCTCAAACAGTCGGCTTAAAAACCTAAAGAACTTCAGCTAAACCTTGCACGTCCTGAGCCCTGATGTTTCGCCTATGACATGCAGAGTCGCCTCCATGAATCAAACCTCAAAATCTAGCAGCCTAAAATTCGGAATTAAAATTCGGAATGCATCGCTGCACGAATGTCGATCCATGGCTCTCAAACTGTCAGCTCTCGAAACCCATGCATAGCCCTGAAACCTACCTGGATCGAAACGGTAAGCCCTGCATCAGATATGCCCCTGTTTTGACCAGGACTGCGCATGTGTGCGCCTGCTGAAGTCACCGCCCTGATCGATCCTGAACCAAGCCTCGAAACCCTGCATAAGCACAAACAACAACTCAACAAACACCACCGAAGCTGACCGCAGCTCTGAAACCTTCGGTCAAGCTGCCCGGCAAAACAAATCAAGCTCCCCCAAAGAAAGCAACACAATTAGGGAATCCCAGGCCTCCTGCAAGCAACCTGCGAGGCGGGCAGCCTCTTCCTTGGCTTTTTGCAGTTCGTGTGCAGCGGAAATGTCCTCCTCCACTCGCCGCCGCTTCTTCGCCTCCTCCGCGGCGCTGTCCTCCACGGCCATCAGGCGCTGGGCCAGGCGCTGAGAAGCAGCCTCCAGCCAAGACCAATCGGAAATGTTCCACCCACCATTCCATCGCACCAAGCCTTCGCTGGTGAAGTACTGCACGCTGCACCGCGGCAGCTCGGCTCGGCCTCGCTGAAGAAGCTTCTCTGCGAGCTGCTGCGGGCCGCGCTGCAAAAGCTCCGCCACGAGGTTCGGCTTCGCCTTCGGCTCCCAGAGCTCCGTGAGGTGCTGCTCCAGCAAGTCCAAGGAGTTCTGGTAATATGCATGATTGTAATTGTAGCGCAAGCATGCCGTGTGCAGCCAGGCATCGAGGACCGTCTCCAGAGGCCACGCGGCGGGGACCGCCGTCATGTGCGTCCAATGGGTTTCCTCGCCCGGCGCCATGGAGGGAGGCGGGGTTTTTCAGAATGCCCGGATTCCGCAGGAGGTGCCTCTCTCTTGATCTTTGCCCCTGAGCTGGCTGCAGAAGCCATTGCGCAAATTTTAACAAGGGACAGAACTTCAGCAAAAGCGCCACACCTGCTTCAGATTCCCAGATCCCGGCCTGCTCGGCTTCTGGGTCGCAGGGAGCCGTCCTTGAACGACTGTTGCTGAGGAGGATCTTCACGTCCGTTACCTAAATGGGGCATAAGCGCAAATGCTTTGTCCAAAATGCGAAGTCCGAAGGCCCATACATTCTAACATCTTCTGACTGCAACGTGATCTTCGCATGGACAGCTGGAGCTTCAAATTCACACCAGGCTGGGCCACAATCCCTTAAACACCAGAACAGCACCGCGACAAAAGCTGTAAGTAGCACCAGCACCTGCTTGATGTCAGAGAGTAGCCGCATGGTGGCAAAGAACCTGACATGGAACGTGGTAACACTGCCTAAACGCAATGAACTGAACTGCTCAACCTAAACTCGTCTGGCTAACCCTCAAAACACATGGATCCCTCCTGGCGCAACATCCTCAGAGGCGTTCGCCCTTTGAGTTTCAACACAAGGCTTGCACTTCATGCTCAACACATGTCGACCGAGACAGGAATGACCCTTAGGTCTTGTGCCCAGGTTCTGAACGCCCTCCTCCGAAATCCAAAGTTGTGCCAAACGCCATCTACATACGTACCCTGTATGCTCAGCAAGCCAAACATGAAAGTTCATGCGACTCCCTTTACAGGCTACATGTTTGTGTTGGGCTTGTGCAGCAGGCCCTTGCAGCTGTGCTCATAAAAGCGTGTACCCTCCCAAACACCAGAGGCCTCTGCAGCCTGTCTGCATTCTGACACTGAGATCCCTGCTGAAGCTCCTCAACCCCAACTGTTTTGACGCACTGAATGATGCTCCCGGAACTCTCCTTGAATTACCAGCCTATGAGCATCTCTGAGGATCGAACACTACGACTGGGACGCCTCGAGGCGGGCCACAGACTGTCCAGGCTGTGGAAAGCCAACGCTAGAAGGCCTGAGAGCCACAAGCACCAGGACACCTTGTCCCCTTGAATCCGCCTCGCAGAATCCCGAGATCATCTGAACATAGCCCTTACAGAACATCATCCGTTCATGAGAAGAAGGGATGCCTGTGGCCAACACAACACTTCAACAAGACATACCTGATAGGGAGTATCCTTGGTGATATCCCTGGAAGGCGTGGCTTAACCACAGAGTCATACGACCGTCACTACCCTTCGTTGACGCATCATCACGTGAGAGGGGCTATGCCTGGAAGGCATTCTTACTAAGCAGTTTCCCGGTCCTACCCCTGATGGCTCCCTGCCCACCACTCACATGCACGCCTTCCGACGAACGCAGGCAGCCCGGGATGGCGGCGCAAGGATCTGCGCAGAGCGTTGGGGGTGAGCAGTTTCAGGTCGGGGGTCTACATGGGGTGTTGAAGGCATGTCGGGGCTTCAAGGGAGAAGGTCCCGGCGCAGAAACTATTTCGAGCAAGTCTTCTGTGGAAAGCAGTTCTGCAGATTCAGGGCCATGCGGGGAGGGGGATCTGCAGAATGAAGGGGAAGATGCTTCTTTGAGTCTTCTACTGCCATGCGAGGTCTACGGCTTAAGAACGGAGGCTTCTTTGACTTGCCTACTGTTACAGAAGTCGGCGAAGCCTCTCATTCACCAGCTAAGCAGCCTGAGTGCTTCAGCTAAATCCCAACCTCAGCACCTCCTTTGTTTTCCCACCAAGGGGCTCCAGGATCTTACGGCTGGCTTCGAGCGTGGGGGTGTGCGCGGGGACTGCAGCAACCTCTAACACTCAGTGAGAAAAGATAAATTGGCAGTCAGACAAAGATTTAAAGACGATAAGCACGAACGAGCGACAAAAAAAGTGGCCGCACGAACAAGACTTGCTGTAGCACGAATGCCTCGAACAAAGGCGATTCAAAATCTTCGGTCAAGAGTCAGAAGAAAGGATACGTATGCATGTATAATGTAATCCCGCAAGAGCAAGAAGGCCTAGACAGGCAGGCTTGAGGACGCCTAAGGCTTCAAGTGCTTTAGGTGGAGGCCTTTTGCAACCAACATCTGGCGCAGGAGCTGCCAATCATGAATGGAACATGCACTACCAACTGCAATGCGTGGTACACTATCATACACAAACAGCTGCCACAGCGCACAGAAACAACCTCACAACAGGACACAATTCAAATCGCGATGCCGCAAATCTGCCTGAAGAACCCTGCTCAAACCACTCAGCCTGAAATCCCAGCCATGGGCAACTCCTCCAACTCATATTTTAAGACTCCCCAAAATGCTTCGTTCTCTAACAAAACTGTTGAAAACTCTTGCAGGCAGTGCGCTCCTGTGAGATCCATACTGCGCCGCAGTCACCAGGCTCCAAAGCCTTGCAGGTGTATGCACAGTCGGGACTCAGCGAAGCTTGCAGAACTCGAGGATCTCTTCACGGACTATGGGAGGTTTCCGGCACTTGAAACAATGCATCCTTGTCCTTTCATTTGAACCTTTCTGGCTAAGGCATGCCCATGTTGAAACAACTTCCAAGCAAGGCTGGGAGTGATCCGGGCAACAGCAATGATGGAAATCGGCTGGGTATGCCTGTACAAAACGGTTTCCGCTTCATGCTCAACAGAGCAACACCCACAAAAGCCCAAACCGCACAGGAACTCCTCCCTAAACCCTAAACCCATTCAAAAAAAAAACCTTCCAACCAAGGTCGCAAGTCTGAGGCCTGAACCGCTTGCAGCATGTGTCGGTTCCGTACCAGCTTCACCTGCTGTGACTGACTGTATAATTCAAGTGTATTCTAATATTGGGGTGATATTATATTATATTGGGGAAAGTATATTATGGGTTTAGGGCTTAGGGTTATAGTAATATTAAGTAATATTCTCGTATATTATAGAGGTTATGATGGGGGGGCTATCTTAGCTCTGAAGGTTAGTCTATCGCTGAAGCTCCACATGGGGAGTGCTCAAAAGGGTCCCGTTCTTTCCAAACCCAAGGAAATGTGTCAAAAATCATGCGGACGCATGGGCTGAAGTTAATGGTGCATACGGGCTTGAAGACTCATGGCGTTTGTTCGGCTTCTCGAGGTTTAGGGCCAAGGTTTAGAGGGCTGAAGGCCAAGCTCTGCGTTGCTGCAGGGTTCAGGAGCTACACCGGACTTGACATGACTGCTCTACAATATACGATAATTTCACTTCATATTACTATAACCCTAAACCCTAAACCCATAATATACTTTCCCCTGTATACTATAATATTACCCCAATATATTATGATATACTTGAATTATACAGTCAGCTTTGACTCGGAGAGGACTTATAGCACCCGGGTACAGTACAATGTAAACGCATCCCAAACCTCTGAGCACGAGGCCTGGCTCTACTTCATTAAACAAAAGGCGGTACCCTTGCGGGCCTTCCTGGGGAGTAGGGTTTAGGGTTCAGAGGGTGTAGGGTTTTAGGAGTTTTTGGGTTTAGGGTTTTAGGGGTTTATGGGTTTCAGGGGTTTAGGAGTTAGTGGTTTCTGGTTTAGGTGGGTTCAGGGTTTAGTGGCTTAGGGTTTAGGGTTCTCAGGAGTCTCCGGGGTTCCTGAGGCTGTACGGGTACCCTCGGAGGCTGGCTTTGGGATCATCCTGCTGAATAGCCAAATTAAGGTCCTGCTCAATGGGGTCCAAATCCCAAAGATCCACAATTTTCAGCGCCATCCGGTAAATTAAAACTCCACTACAAAGCAAAGAGCCCCAACAATCCATGCAAGTGAAGGAGCCTGCAAAAGCCTGTAGCCTCGCATGAGGTGGTCATCTCTACACAAGAGTGGCGTTGGAATTTTGAGTGCCGGGGCGCTCGTTGAACATCCTTACGGGTGGACCTGGGTGAAACCCTTATGACGGGGGTGTCTCCGGTTTCCGCACCTTCGCTTGAAAGACTGGTGCAACTATAGACAGGACCAAGCTTCAAGACCCGAGGATGCGTACCCTGATGGGCTATAGATGCTCTGAACCACAACTTGGCAGTCGCTTTCCTGCGGTGGTTGCGCATCATCTTTCTGGACTACTTGCCCTGCATGTCCTCATATCCATGAAAGGCATGATTCTACATGAGGTGGATCCGACAACTGAGATGAGCAATGACAGAGACTTTGAAGGGTCTTCTTGGCAGATCAGAGGACTTTGGAAGCATCTACTCCACTGAGACTGCACAGGGGATAGAAACATTCCAATTTATGCTTGCAGACGCCTTGCCGTGACGCTATGCACAGGGTAATCCTTATATGGCCCACCTGGAGCAACCTTTCAAGGTCATATATATATATATACACCACCAGAACCATCTCAAGCTACCAGTACTGCAAAAAGAGATCACGGAGTCCACGTAAGCCTCGGGCCTGTTCTTCCATCAAAGGCGACCGACGAGAGTGGCGTGGCCTTGCAAGGGTTCAATATCCAGTTCCTGTGTGTGCAGATATTCTGGCTAAAGACCTGCTACTATGGCCTGATTGATAGTTCGCTCACTCAGCTTGAAATGCAGGGCCGCACACAGTTCTTGGGACAGAGCTAGACAAATGTCAGCTTGGCTCGCAGAGTCTGTTCAGCGCTTCAGTGCATGACATCAACAAGAGTTCCTGGATGTGAATACTTCTCTCGGCCACATGGATGGACAGGGCTTTTCCCCTGCGGCGAGTCAGAATTGAACGCGGCAGGCAGTGCGTGCACGGGAGCTCTGCCCTCTTTGGTCTGATGCCGGCAGCTGCGCCCTAATCACTTGCGAGAGGAAACCCTGCAAGGTATGCTGTGGAACTTTCATCGCCAAAACACCAAGGTAGTGATGAGGTGCGCGCACAACACAGAGGCAAAAACTGCGGCAAGCAAGTGCTTCGGCACAAGTGGCTTATGACTGTGCACACCTCCTGTCCCCTCCCGCGTTGCAGAAGAACCTATCGCAAGACCGACCTTCTGCAGCTAAACCCAGAAAGGTGAAGGCAACGATGGAGGGTTCGGAGGCACACACTGCTTGCAGCATGGCTAAAACAAATGGCTCACTCCAATTATTACAACGCGACGCAAACTCACGCTCGGCACAAAGATTCTACTCTCCCCCCTCCCTAGCTTGCCGCTTCTCGACCGGTTTGATAGCACAGACTTCAGAGATCCTGCCTATAGATCCTATAGTTTTACACATTCGAGTTTGTGCCGATCTCTGCAATGTGCGAGCATCAGTCCACGTAGTCGCCCTCCGTGCCGGGCACGGAGCGCGCCTCGGCGCTGCGGGCGCGGCGGTTCCCCCGCCGAGCCTGCCTCAGACGCTGGCCGTGGCTCAGGATGGAGGGCTTGAAGACTTCCTCGGCTGTGGCTGGGGGAGGAGTAAAGGGGATCCTCATCAAGAGCTTTGATCCGGTAAGCAGCAGTGATCACGGAGCACAAGCAGCCCGACGGAAAAATGTTGCAATGCCATGGGTATCAGATGCTAACTTATACAAACTACAGCAGTGGTGCTTGCCTCATCCTCATGTTCTGAGTAACTTGCGCAGGCTATCCAAAGTTCGCGAGTTTGAGCCAAGCTTCCACGGGGATATCGGGCAGGAAGGAGATGGCCCACACCATCAAAGGTCCCGGATGCACGTCCACGCTGGTGAGCGCCGTGGGCATGCCCCGCACCAGGACTTGCTGGCCCACTTGGAGGCTCCGCGCCGGGACCTGAGTTGAGCTAGCAGAGCCCGAATCAAACATGCCTGACATCCTTGATTGAAATTTGCCTGACACTTACTTTCAGATACAGTCTTGGACCAAGAAGCTGTGCGCCCATTCGGGAGCACCAAGCGATGGTCCAGTGTGACCTCCAGTGAGGCTGCGCCGGCTTGCAGAAGCACCGTCGCGCGGGCCTGCATCAGCATGGAGCGAAGCCTCTTCCCTTTCAACTTTCAACAGCCTTCAGCTGAATACACCAGGCCTGCGTTTGGGTACGAAGAGGCTACGAGTAGTGAGTGAATAATATGGGGTTGCCTCTCTCAGAACACGACATTCCAAGGCCTCACGCTGCTTGGGGGGCGCGGCCACGGCCACCAGCGAGCCGTCGGCTGCCCGAATCTTGGAGCCTTCGCGAAGGTCCTTGGCCGACACCGTGAGGCCACTCTCCGCCATGAAGGTCGCATCTACCATGAAGCAATCGGCCCCAGAGGTATCGACGGAGATTCCAGAATTCGCGCTTTCTGCCAAAAGAGGCGTCACCGTCGAACCGGCATCGCTCAGATGCACCCAAGAGGCTTCGCTGCAAAGCGCTCGTCCATGGGCTGAGTGGAGAACCTGCCACTGAGGCCCCGTAGCTGCTCCTCGCTTTTAGTGAGCTGCTCCAGCAAGCGGCAACGCTCCTGGTACGTGGCAGCCTCCACTTGGCACTTGCCCTTCTCTTCCCAGAGCGTCTGCATCTGATCCAACTTCGTCTCCGCCTTGGCAAGCTGCTGCGTGAGCTGCTCGCATCGCTCCTCGTACTTTGCATTCTCGATGAGCAAGGTCTTCAGCTCCATGTTGCCTGCTGGATCCTTGGCGAAGCGGCTCTCGAGTTGCTGGCACCGCTCCTCGCAGGCGCTCTTCTCGCTTTGAACCTTGCTGA